CAATATTCCCATTACCCTAACTGATCAAGCCTGTTAACATTCCATTGCATTAAATACAGCATTTAAGAATAATGTCATGTGAAATCCATTTCTGCTCCAGCTTTTCAGTTAACACCAGCTCTCGAATACTCAGCAAGACACCATCTCGCAAAAGGAAGGAATATTGAGAAATATCTCCCAACAGGTAAAACCTCTTCAAGCCCAGAACATAAAGCTTGAAGAAAGTCTGAAGCGTGTGGCTGAAAAACTCTGTCATGAACTCTGGAACAAAGCTGGACATGGTGCAACCCATGTCCAGAAAAATAGAAGGTGTATAGGGACAATGGCTACCAGTTCTATAAAAATAGCAAAAGTTGTCTGGGAGAGGTGGGATTATGCCTGTAATCCCAGCACTTTGGGAGACTGAGGTGGGTGGATCACGAGGTCAAGTGATCGAGACCATTCTGGCCAACATGATGAAACCCCGTCTGTACTAAAAATACAAAAATTAGCTGGGCGTGGTGGCGTAAGCCTGTAGTCCCAGCTACTTGGGAGCCTGAGGCAGGAGAATTGCTTGAACCTTGGAGGCGGAGGTTGCAGTGAGCAGAGATCGTGCCACTGCACTCCAGCCTGGCGACAGAGTGAGACTCAGTCTTAAAAAAAAAAAAAAGACAGCAAAAGTTGGCAAAAATGTAAATATATCTGCATTGCTAAGAACTCTACCATCCAAAGATAAACACACAAGAAATGCTGGAGTTTGCCGTGCCTCAAAGCTACTCTGAGTTTTTCTACTCTTATCGGACAGGGCTCTTCCACTTGGGTAATGGCAAGGCCTGACTCTGGAAGGATGGAACTCCTTACTCTTTTGAACTCTTTGATATTATAATAGGTTGCACCACCCCAACAAGTAGAGGCTGTGTGACCATCCTCAATGGAAAGGCTTTCTCAAAGAACTGCTTAGAGTTGAGGTGGTATGTGTGTGAGAGGAGGGTGGCAAATGGTGAAGCCAGAGACCCTCCATTAACCTCCCTGAATCATTAGGTGAAGGCGATTGATTCTCCAGCTGCAACTACCAACACAGAGTAGGTAAGTGAGGTCACCGCAAGGGCTACTTGAGACATTGGGAAATGAGACATAATCATGAAAGACCATCTCTCTGACTAGTACAAGATGGGTTCTCATGTTTCCTGTTCAGGATCATCAGCATTTCCGAGATAGGGTCCATACACATATTTACCAGTCACAAGAAGTCCTATTCATATGCCACCAACCAGCCTCAGAAATCCATAATGTCATCTACCTTCTTGGCTTAGAGATAACATTTAGCTTTCTTTCTTCTCAACATCTAGTGTCACCTCCCTGTTTCCATGTCATCCTTACACTTGGGGGATTGAGAAACTTTTTGAAGTAGAGGAAATACATGGAAGTAACATCTTTTGTCCTGACAGTCAAGTAGTTCATGAGAAGTTAGCAATCACTCCCCACATTGTGCCACCAAATGCACAAGGAATCTTTATTTTGTTTCAGGTCATACTATTCATTTTCCAATCTCTCACTAAAGACTCATCTGCTATGTCTACGGCCTGCTTCCCTACAGGGATGTCTCTTGTTATAAGAAGCTCAGTGTCTTATAAACATAAGTTCCTGTGTCCATTAAGAGTCTGATAATTCGAGCCGGGCGCGGTGGCTCAGGCCTATAATCCCAGCACTTTGGGAGGCCAAGGCAGGCGGATCACGAGGTCAGGAGATTGAGATCATCCTGGCCAACATAGTGAAACCCCATCTCTACTAAAAATACAAAAAAATATCCGGGCGTGGTGGCGGGTGCCTATAGTCCCAGCCACTCGGGAGGCTGAGGCAGGAGAATGGCATGAACCCGGGAGGCAGAGCTTGTGGTGAACTGAGATCACACCACTGCACTCTAGCCTGGGCAACACAGTGAGACTCCATCTCAAAAAATAAAGTCTAATAATTTGGTCCTTCTATAATTCATGAGCATGACGACTGGGTGCTCACGCACACTTGTGAGATGTGCCACTCTCTGAACCTTGTTACAACATTAGCTCTTTACCCACCTGACCTCAAGGACAAAAAAAAGATTCTGAAGCCGGGCGCAGTGGCTCACGCCTGTAATCCCAGCATTTTGGGAGGCTGAGGTGGGTGGATCGCCTGAGGTCAGGAGTTCAAGACTAGCCTGGCCAACATAGTGAAATTCCGTCTCTACTAAAAATACAAAACATTAGCTGAGTGTAGTGGCAGGTGTCTGTAATCCCAGTTACTAGGGAGGCTGAGGCAGGAGAATCGCTAGAACCCAGGAGGCAGTGGTTGCAGATCATACCAGTGCACTCTAGTCTGGGCAAAAAGAGCGAAACTCCATCTTAAAAAAAAAAAAATTCTGATAAAAATTGTCTCCCTTCCATAGGAATTTCTCCCAGGAAAGAAATATATCCCCAATTCAGTTCCATATCAAAATTACTCTCCTCCATATTCCCTTCAGAGAAATTGGAAAACAGAAAAACAGTCACTCTTCACATGCATCTGTAATAGTTTGATTTCAGTTCCTATTTTCCTCCATTTGACCCATATTTATACCTTTCAGATACTTAAGATTTAATAATAATAAGTGTAAATACTGTGAAAAAAAAAGTCATGTGATTGCACATTAAATGGAAAGCACTTATAAACTGACGGTAGTAAAATCCTAGCCTAGCGAAACAGATCTAAAACAGTATTTGACTATATTTGAATTTTACTTAATGAGCTATCCATGGTGAACATATTACTTCCAGTTTCATAATAAGTTTATAGTTTTAGTAATTCTGCCATTAGTGCCTGGCTCAGCACTATCTCATTTTAGCTCTCCAATCCTCTTCCCATCTGAGGAGCTAAATACTTTGCTCCTGGGTTTTTGTTTTTGTTTTTCGAGATAGGGTCTTGCTTTGTCACCCAGGCTATGGTGTCGTGGTGCAATCATAGCTCACTCCAACCTCCAACTCCTGGGCTCAAGTGCTCCTCCTGCCACAGCCTCCCAAAACACTGGGATTACAAGCACATGCCATGGTGCCCTGCTAATTTTTAAAGTTTTTAGTAGAGATGAGGTCCAGTTTTGTTGCCAGTCTGGTCTCGAACTTCTGGGCTCAGGCATCCCTCCTGTCTCAGCCTCCCAAAATGCTGGGATTACAGGTGTGTGCCACCACACTTGGCCAACTCCTCAGTATTTTTATCAACATGGTCACTTGGCCAACTCCTCAGTATTTTTATCAACATGGTCTTCACCCTCCTCCCTCAACTGGATTCTCCCAAACATGCAGCTTTTTAAACTAAAATGAGTCTAACTAACAGCAGAATTGACAAGGAATGCAAACAAATCAGCAAGAATAAAACAAACAATCCCATCAAAAAGTGGGCTAAGGAAATGAATAGATAATTCTGAAAAGAAGAGATACAAATGCCCAACAAACATATGAAAAAATGCTCAACATCACTAATGATCAGGGAAATGCAAATCAAAATCATAATGCAATACCACCTTACTCCTGCAAGAATGGCCACAATCAAAAATTCAAAAAATCATAGATGTCGGTGTGGATGTGGTGAAAAGGGAACACTTTCACACTGCTGGTAGAAATGTAAACTAATACAACCACTAGGGAAAACTGTGGAGATTCCTTAAAGAATTAAAAGTAGAGCTACCATTTGATCTAGCAATCCCACTACTGGGTATCTACCCAGAGGGAAAGAAGTCATTATACGAAAAATATACTTGCACACACATGTTTATAGCAGCACAATTTGCAATTGCAAAAATATGGAACCAGCCCAAATGCCCATCAGTCATTGAGTGGATAAGGAAATTGTTATATATATGTATATAAACACCATGGACTACTACTTAGCCATAAGAAGTAATGAAATAATGGCATTTGCAGCAACCTGGATGGAACTGGAAACCACTATTCTAAGTGAAGTAATTCAGGAATGGAAAACCAAACATCATATGTTCTCACTCATAAGTGGGAGCTAAGTTATGAGGACCCAAAGGCATTAAGAATGATACAATGGGCCGGGCACGGTGGCTCAAGCCTGTAATCCCAGCACTTTGGGAGGCCGAGACGGGCGGATCACGAGGTCAGGAGATCGAGACCATCCTGGCTAACACGGTGAAACCCCGTCTCTACTAAAAAATACAAAAAACTAGCCGGGCGCAGTGGCGGGCGCCTGTAGTCCCAGCTACTCGGGAGGCTGAGGCAGGAGAATGGCGTGAACCCGGGAGGCGGAGCTTGCAGTGAGCTGAGATCCGGCCACTGCACTCCAGCCTGGGCAACAGAGCGAGACTCCGTCTCAAAAAAAAAAAAAAAAAAAAAAAGAGACTCGGGGGAAAGAGCAGGAGAGGGGTGAGGAATAAAAGACTACATATTGGGTAGAGTACACACTGCTGCGGTAATGGGTGCACCAAAATCTCAGAAATCACCACTAAAGAACTTATTCATGTAACCAAATACCACCTGTTTCCCAAAAACCTATGGAAATAAAAAAAATAAAATGAGTCTATAGCAGAATAGCAGAATATATATAAAATAGCTAGCTGCAAAAAAAAAAAGCTTTTGCTATAGAAACTGATGCCTATGTGAACTGAACATAATGAGGACACTTATCACACAGAAATTTTCATCTCTCCATAAACTCTGGTATAACTTGTCATCAAAGAATTGATATATTATAATCAGCTGGCACAGAGAAACAGATTCATTATAGAGTATTAGAAACTTTATTTTGAAAATTGGATTTTACTTGTAATTCAATAGCAGTATTCTTGAAAGTAATCAATTCCTATTCTAGTGGAAAATGTAGTCATTTCATAAATCAAAGGAATACCAGAAACAAAACTCAGATGACATCTACAGGATTATTATTTCAGGAAGTTCTTACTCAAAGCCACTTCCCTTGCATTAGCATCTCAATCAATAACAAGAAACATTGCTTAAAGTAAGCTAATAATTGTAGTCGTTTTATGTACATACCAACAGTGTGGATGGCTTTCCTATAGGGCATTAGGCCAAAATTGTACTGAAAAACTCCCCTGGCATGAAACAGGGGCAAAGCAAACCCCATGATCTTCTGTAGTTTATCTTGAACAGTTCTAATCCATGAGCCTTCGGGGTTGTCAACTTGTTTAAACAGTTCATTTTCACCAAAAGAAAACACTGGGACCAGAGAGGCACTGCAACAACAAAGGGGACGGGTGAGAATATTCCATGAAAAGGATTCAAATAATTTATTTTGTTTAGCTGACTCTTGCAACAAATCCTGAAAAAATGTTTAAACGTGCCCAAGCCTTCCTGTATTGCTAACTTCACGTTCATTGAAACTGTCTTAAACTTAACATTCTTTAGGGAGGAATTTCAGCAGGCTAGCCTTAATGGGATTTTATTCTATAGAAAATTAGGGTTCCAGGAAGCTTCTCTTTTATCTATAGCTTTGGCCACTGTTGATTTGGCTGGAAAATTACTCTGTGTGTATAGAATGTTGGTGTTTATTGTTGTTCTCGTTGTTTTGCTTTTAGAGTTAAGTTAAATTGCTGAATGTCATGGCATTGAGCTACTGTCGTAAAAAGGTCATATTCCATTCCCCAAGAACATCCACACCTGTTTTTACTGTCAGATGGATTTGGAGGAGGTCTTTACGGGCTAGAAAATCACCTTACTTCTTCGTGATTTGTTTAATAATGTCTTTACTTTGCTGACCCACTACTTTATAAAAGAAAAAAAAGCCACTTACCCATGGGTCAAAGCAATTTTAACAAATCCTTTCCGCTGGCAGATGAACAGAGTGAACTTTCCAGGATGGGCATCCAGTGATTCTTTTGCACCCCCAAGGACAATGACAGAGATGTTTCCACCTCCTTCCTTGCTTACCACATAGGACACACTTTTCTTGGAAACTGAAACTAGCCCTTAGTGAATAAAACAAACAGTGTAACTAGTTATCCTTTTTTAAAAAATTACAATGTTTTATCATAATATTCCATGACAATAGTAAACATTTAACAAAATTTCCTACACTGCTTACCTTTGGAGCACTTTGTAAGTTTGTAATTTTTCAGAGTCAAATCTTTAGTAATGTATTCTATTAATAAGTTAACCTTTTGGCAGGTAGTGGGCTAGGTCTTTAAAATGCCATTCAGTCATTAGTAGGTTTACCACTTGTTTGTTTAGGTAGGTTGTGCACTGCCGAACCCTACAGGACACCATTTATATTGCATTCTAAGTAAAAGGATCCCCTGCCCCTGGAGTTGTTCAGTGCACAACCTGCACAGCTGTATGTGGTGGCCTTGATATTTATCCTGGCGAAGTTTTACACAGAACCAAAAAGTATATTCTCCAAGAGGCTGCAGTGGATTTTCTGAATATACAATGGCCTGTTTTCAGATATTCTATATGGATCATTATTTTCCAAACCTGGATTTATAATATAAATGTGATAGCATTTGGCTGTGTCTCCACCTAAATCTCATCTTGAATTGTAACTCCCACAATTCCTTCATGTCGTGGAAGGGACCAAGTTGGAGGTAACTGACTTGTGGGGGCAGGTCTTTCTCATGCTATTCTCATGATAGTGAATAAGTCCCATGAGATCTGATTGTTTTATAAAGAGGAGTTTCCCTGCACAAGCTCTCTCTTTGTCTGCCGCCATCCATGTAAGATGTGACTTGCTCCTCCTTGCCTTCCACCATGATTATGAGGCCTCCCCAGCCATGTAGAACTATAAGTCTTTCAAACCTCTTTTTCTTCCCAGTCTTGGTATGTCTTTATCAGCAGTGTGAAAATGAACTAATACAAAGTGGTTAAAAAAAAAAAAAATCAAGACATTTGACAACCTAGATCACTTGCCAGATCTCTACATGTTTCCAATATGGATAGTCTGCCTTTGGTAAATTGTTCATTTAAAACAGTTCGATAGTTGTTCAGTCTGTATTTCAGGCTTTCCCATGTAAAAATAACTTAAAAGATTCCTTTTCAGATTTCACATGTTCTGCATACTGAGGAAAATATAGGAAAGAATAAAGACAAAAATACAAACCATTCTTGAACTACATTTCAGAAATAATCACTTTTTAATGTCTTATGTGTCTTTCCATTCTGGGTTTTATCCATTTTTATGTAGTCATAACAGAATGTGTTAGACAGGCTTTATAAAGACATAGCATATCTCATCTCTTGAAGAAAATGGTATGCTAACTTTACTCTGGGTTTCTATTATAGGAGGAATTATGACAGGATTCTGAATGACCCACTGCCCTCTTAAGAGGCAGAGGATGCTGGGTTAGAGGTGGAGAGCCTGAGGCTGCCTAGATGGGTTTGAACCTTCACTGAGGTCAAGGCATGCCGTTCTGCTCTGTGTGAACCTGAGTGAGAGTTGGGTGCATCTCTTCCACCAGGAAAAGGGCCTCTTGGGTTTCCACACCCCTGGCTCTCCTAGCTTGCCTCTGGTCACTTCTCAGTTTTCCCTCAGGTTCCTTGTCTTCAGGCCATCCTTCAATGCTGTTATTTCTTAGGGATCCTTCCTTATCTCTCTTGTCCTCTAACCTCATCTACACCCATGGATTCAAATACCATGTATGTGTGCTGAGTTCTCCCAAACCCATCTGTCAGGAGATCTTCCTCCTGAGGTTCCAGGCTCATATCTCCAATTGCCCAATTGACATATCTACATTGACAGCTCTAAGACACCTCGAACTACACGTCTCCAAACCAAATGCATTAAATTCTCCCTCAAAGTGGTCCCTCTTCCAACATTACTTATCAAGGTGAATGGGACCATCATCTACCTGGTCAAAACACAGCTTCTTCCATATGTAGCCACCTTCTCCTTTCTTAGCCACCACATTCATTTGAAAGCATTTATTGAGCATTTGCTACAGGCCAGGTACAGGGCTAGATGTTCATAATAATGACAAAATACAGTTGCTGCCTTCATGAGGATGAATCAATCACTAAGTCTTAGTGACTCTATCAGATATTTTTGATATTAATCTTCTCTTCCGTATCTCCAGTGCCATTGCCACTGTTAGCTTAGCCCTTATCACCTCTCCCTTCATCACCCAACAGGCCCCTTCCATCATCAGTCTCCAGGCCTACCTGCCTGTAACCACTTTCGAAGCTGCTACCTGAATTATCTTTCTATTACACCAAATCCGTCAGATCCCTCCTTTGCTCAAAATCCCTCCAAGTTCCCCATGGCTTATCTACAAGATAAAACCTAAAGTTCTCTGTATGGTATATATGGCTGTTGTGATCTGATCCTGTTACCTGTCCAGGCTTAAGGGGTAAACAGAAAGGAGCATGAACCTGAAACACAGTTGGCTCTGGCTGACACCTGATAGGTATAGATACATACAAAATGGGACAAGAAGAATGGGTTGGAGGTGGGATTTAAAAGGACTCACAGATGCAGAATCCTCTTGCGTAAGAGCAAAACAGAGTGCTGTCAGCAAAGGCCCTCTGAAGCCCTACGGTTCCTTACTACATGTGGTCTGGTGCCTATGTCTGTCAGTCTTTCACACCCAGAGAGGCAGCCACCTGGGCAGGCACAGTCAAGAGGGGCAGCCTTGGACCAAGGGCTCTCCTAGGAATCTGGTTCTGGGAAGTATAGATAACTCTCTAGACTTAGAGACAAGGATAGTCCAAACCTCCACTGGCTGCAAGTTTGAATATTTCTATTTACCTTTTAGGGAAATGAAGGTTGTACCACAGAAAATAATTCATGATGTCAGAAACCAGTGATTGCTGGGCACAGTGGCTCACGCCTGTAATCCCAGCACTTTGGGAGGCCAAGGCGGGAGGATCAACTGAGGTCGGAAGTTCCAGACCAGCCTGACCAACACGGAGAAACCCCGTCTCCGCTAAAAATACAAAATCAGCCGGGGGTGGGGGAGCATGCCTGTAATCCCAGCTGCTCCGGAGGCTGAGGCAGGAGAATCACTCTAACCTGGGAGGTGGAGGTTGCTGTGAGCCAAGATCACGCCATTGTTCTCCAGCCTGGGCAACAAGAGCGAAACTCTGTCTCAAAAACAAAAACAAAACAAACAAACAAACAAAAAACGAAGAAACCAGTGATTGCAAACAAGTTTCCTCTCCAAAGCCAGCTCTAGTAAACTGCAGTGGCTGTAAGGGCACTATAAGGAGAAAGACTCTAAGATGGAGTATATGCGTCTGATATGGCCATGGAGAGGGGGTACCCACATCTCTTGGGCCATGAGTTTGCCCAACCTGCTCTTAGCTATACGACTCAAACTCACCTGCGGCAATGCTTTGAATAAGCAAACACTTTAAATATGTTTCTGTGCTTTTGTGAAACTTAAACATTTTTCCCTGTAATGTTCTTCGTTTTATAAAACTCTAAAACAATGTATACAAAACAAGGAAGAGAAGGGATTCCCCTCCTCCAAACCTTTGGTGGTTAAGAGGGGGATAGTGCACCCTCTGCAGGCCAGATGCGGGATAGCTTGGAGGGTTTAGTGCGCCCTCTAGTGTGCCCTGTGGACCAGGCTGGACTTTGAAAACAAACAGAACCTGAAAATCCAGCCGTGAATCCCGGTCCTTGGGTGCTTAATGATATCCTACCAGGTATATAATGACAATAATCACTTGAGAAATTAATAGGATGTAATAAAAATCTAGAAAACCATGAACAATTCTTTTTTTTTTCTTTCTCTTTTGAGACGTAGTCTCGCTCTGTCACCCAGGCTGGAGTGCAGTGGCACAACGTTGGCTCACTGCAACCTCCACCTACTGGGTTCAAGCAGTTCCCCCACCTCAGCCTCCTGAGTAACTGGGATTACAGGCGCCTACTACCATGCCCTAATTTTTGTACTTTTAGTAGAGACGGGTTTCACTATGTTGGCAAGGCTGGTCTCGAACTCCTGACCTCAAGTGTTCCAGCCCACCTCTGCCTCCCAAAGTGCTGGGATTACAGGCATGAGCCACTGCTCTTGTCTCTTTGTATTTATTTTTTTAATTGTGATGGGTCTCACTCTGTCACCCAGGCTGGAGTGCAGGGGCACCATCTCCAGTAACTGCAGCCTTGACCTCCCAGGCTCAGGTGATCCTTCCACCTCAGCCTCCTGAGTAGCTGGGACTACAGATGTGTGCCACCATGCCCAGCTAATTTTTGCATTTTTTGTAGAGACAGGGTTTTGCCATGTGGCCCAGGCTGGTCTCAACCTCCTGGGCTCAAGAGATCTGCCCACCTCAGCCTCCTAAAGTGCTGGGATTACAGGCGTGAGCCACCGCGCCTGGCCTGGACTCTTATTTCTGAGCCAAGTTATTTTTAATTTAGGAAGACAGCAAGTTGAATATGTTTAGTTTTATCACTGCTGGTACTTCAAGACACAACGAAAGACATTTTCCATTTCTAGTATTTGTAACAGCGTGCACGGTGCCTCTCCAAGGGTGTGATTTGTCACTTACTTGATCCATGATTTCTTCTTCTACATCTGAATACACAAAATGCATTCATTACTTTATTTGATCATTGTGTTAATATTCATTGAACATTTCTATGTTCCAGGCACCGTGCTGGATACTTAGGATGGAACAGAAAAGAAGACGCAGTTTGTGTCTTTCTGACACTTACAGTCCAGTGGGGGAGGGCAGGAAACACCCAGACCACATAGGAAGTGCCAGATGAGGATAGAACAGGTTTTACTCTAAGAGACCAGAAACACATATGGGCCTGAGAAGAAATGTTGTGTGTGCTCCTGCTACCCCAAAGCACTGTGGAAGCAGTGATCCGCCATCACTTACCAATGCTCATCATATATTCTCGGAAGACAGGACACCAGAACCAAAGTGGCAGCACGTGAAGATATGAAGTAAAGCCAGGAAACAGCTCCTTGAAGTCGGAATAATTTGTAGAAAAATTCCCAAAGGCTCCAGCCGCCAATATTCCATGGGGGTGAAACCCAAATATATAGTTGTGACTTGGATCCAAATCTTGAGTTTTGATGAGCTACGGCACATTCATATCGAGATTTTAAAAAAAAGAAAATTCCCTTATTATTTTCCAATGAGAAACAAAAGGACTAGTTTTTGTGTCAAGAGACAATGGAGAACATGACTCATTTTTGTTCCCTGGGTTGGAGCTGTTTCCAAATTTCTAAACCATCTTCTGAGCCCAGATTCCTTTATATACAACCTTCTAGATTTTGTCAAGTCAGCTTACAGTTCATTTAGTAATTGGAGCCAAATTGCAGCCTTTCTCCCTGCTATGATTTGAATGTGTCCCTCAAAAGTAAGTGTTTAAAAACTTAATCCCCAATGCAACAGTGTTGGAGGTGGGGCCTAATGAGAGGTGATTAGGAATGAAAGCACAGTTAATGGATTAATGCCATTATCATAGAAGGGGGTTTGCTATCTTGGGAGTAAGCTCCTTATAAAAGAATGAATTCAACCCCCTCTTGCTCTTTCTTGGCCTCTCCTGCCCTTCCACCTTGCGCTGTGGGCTGTTGCAGCAGGAAGGCTCTTGCCAGATGCCAGCATCTTTGGTATTGGCCTTCCCAGCCTCCACAACTGTGAGAAATAAATTTGTTTTCTTTACAAATTACCTAGTCTTTGGTATTCTGTTTTAGCAGCACAAAACAGACTAAGACACACCCCCCGAAGAAGAAGCTTGAGATGTATGTGATGAAAACAAATTTCCACTCTTCTCCTAACTCAACATAATACTTTTTAAAACAGTTGTACTCACATGAATTGGAAAATAGTCCTTAAAGTGTTTCCAAAGAGTCCAATTTTTGATCCAGCTGGATCTCCTGCCTCCTTGCTCTGGGGTATGCCAGTCAAAGTAAAGCCACGTCAAATAAGGGATGTAAAGAAACCAATAATTGTGTATGATCAGCATCACAGTGATTGCAATGGACATCTGCCCTGTAAGAAAAGAAAAAGTCTCATGGAATCAGAGTCCGTTAGTATCTGCTCGCTGCAGTGGTCCACGGCAGGGGGATTAATACATACAAGATATGTTAAACCGAGCCTCAGTTCAGGTAAGGTAATACAACAAGACAGTGATGACATAGTATTATTTAACACTTATTAGATGCTTACTATATGCCAAGCATTGTGTTATGGACCCTGCCAAGGTATTTTTATTTAATCCTCATATAGCCACATACCAATAAAGTAGCCATGGTACTCTTTTTATTATTGAAGGGCGAGGTGGAAGGAATGGGTAGAGGAAACACTGAGCCATAATGTTCTTTCTAAAGAAGAGAAAATGGAAGTTTATAGAGGGGTTGAGTTGCCCAAGCCACACAGCATTTAAGTGGTTGATCTGTCTGAATTTAAAGTCTAACTACTTAGTCATAGCTTTACATCACCTCCCCTCTGTGAATATATGGAAGGATCATCACTGACAGGAGGGATGTGGAGAATTTCCTACTACAGGAAATCCTATCTTCCTATCTTGACCGAGCAACCATTATTCATGTGTCCACAAAAAGGGCCTATTCTAGCAACAAACTTCATTTTCAGGAACTCTACTATCAGAGACTGAAATAGCAAAGGTGGGACTCTTCAGATCTTAGCATGCATCACTTCTTGCAACATTTGATAATGAGAGAGCAATCCTAATTATTTATGTGCCTAATAACATAGCTTCAAAATACACGGGGCAAAAACTGTCAAAACTTGACTTGGGTGGTATTGACAAGAATGGTTACCTTCAAGTAACACGTGAAGCTCAGCTATATGTTTTTTAAATGTCTATGTTATATACTACAATTTAAAAATTATGAAAAGAGAAACATGCTAACAAGAGAAAGAGGATGTACATGAAGACATAAAGCCTGGCACATAGTAAATCTTCACTAAATGACAGCTACTATGACTTTAAGGAGTGCTGTTACTGCTTTCTCTTCTATAACACACCGCAGTCTCCAATCTGGGGTTCGTTTCCACTCCCAAACTCTTATCTACTGCCAACCAACTTTGTTAAAGACAACCCTGTCCCCAAGTTATCCACCAAAGTGGTTAGTAGATAAATAATGACTTAATCTATTATTGGAATATACACATATCTACTGACATATATGTTTTACCAAAAACAGAACATTTATTTATATTTTTTCTTTTTTTTTTTTTTGAGACGGAGTCTCGCTCTGTTGCCCACACTAGAGTGCATGGGTGCAATCTCGGCTCACTGCAGCCTCCACCTCCTGGGTTCAAGCGATTCTCCTGCCTCAGCCTTCCAGGTAGCTGGGATTTACAGGCGCACACCACCACGTCCAGCTAATTTTTGTATTTTTTAGTAGAGACAGAGTTTCACCATGTTGGCTAGTCTGGTCTCAAACTCCCGACTTCAAGTGATCCACCCACCTCAGCCTCCCAAAGTGTTGGGATTACAGGCGTGAGCCACCGCGCCTAGCCTATTTATATTTCTTGATACATATAAATCAATACATTTCTCAGATATATCACTGAACCCAGTCAGGAAACGGACTTGCTGCTCTCTCCAGAGTTGGTTAAAGGTTGAAAGACTGGAGGAAAGGTTAAGGGAGCATGTGTCCTCCACACCTCTGTGGGGTACCTGTTTCCTTCTGGACCCGCTGGAAAAGTTTCCATGCGTCCAAAGCATGCTGTAAAGAGTGCCCTCTGCCCTCGTTCCTACCAGGATCATTCTAGTTTGCTTCCTTTGCTTTCTTCTATCCAGATCTGAGTACTGATGATTTGCCACTATTGGTTAGTTATCTGTTTATTTTGGTAAGATGTGCAAAAAAATGACAGGAAACTTACGTGGGCCTCGTTTTTTTGTACTCAAAGTTTGATCAGGTAAGCGACAGTGAAACAGGGCAGGGAAAGAGCAGTTACTGAGTGGAGAGCCATTCTCCTTCCCTGCATATGGAGCATCTCATTTATTCCTCCTTGCAACCCCCAAAGTACACGTTACTACCCCATTTTACATTTGTAGAAACTGAGGCTCAGGACAACATGATGAAACCCCATCTCTACTAAAAATACAAAAATTAGCTGGGCATGGTAGCGGGCACCTGTAATCCCAGTTACTCGGAAGGCTGAGGCAGGAGAATGACGTGAACCCGGGAGGAGGCAGAGCTTGCAGTGAGCCGAGATGGTGCCACTGCACTCCAGCCTGGGCAACAAAGCGAGACTCCGTCTCAAAAAAAAAAAAAAAAGAAAGAAAGAAAGAAAGAAAGAAACTGAGGCTCAGGGAATTCGAGTGTCCAAATGATTTGCAGCTGGATCTGCCTAATCCTTAAACCTACGCACTTTTTCACAAAGCCACACTGTCCTCCAGCTAATGGTAATAACATGTAGAGTAACTTATTACAGGTGCATAAACAGGTTCATAAGCATAAAGAAGCAGGCAAGTGGGAGGTTCTGTTTTCCTTTCTACAAAGATGGAAAAACTGACACCAAAAGCAAACTGACCTGATTTTAATCACAGAGTGAGCCAGGAACAGATCCAAAAATAATGTCCCCAAGCTACTAATTCAATATTCCACTAACCGAACTCTGAATACCTGAATACATGCTGCATATCTCTTTAATGCTCATTACATGTTTTGCATCCAAAGAAGAAAACACAATCAGGAGCAATGGCTCATACCTGTAATCCCAGCACTTTGGGAGGCTGAGGTGGGTGGATACCTGAGGTCAGGAGTTCGAGACCAGCCTGGCCAACATAGAGAAATCCAGTCTCTACTCAAAATACAAAAATTGGTGGGGTGTGGTGGTGGGCGCCTGTAGTCCCAGCTCTTTGGGAGGTTAAGGCAAGAGAATCTCCTGAACCCAAGAGCTGGAGTTTGTAGTGAGCCGAGATCATGCCATTGCACTCCAGGCTGGGCAACAAGAGAGAGACTCCGTCTCAAAAAAAAAAAAAGAAGAAGAAGAAGAAACAAACACTATAAAAACTAGGTGACTAGATAACCTCTATTTTCTATGCATGCTATATATCTCTTTAATGCTCATTACATGTTTTGCATGTATAATAGTTAAGATGTAGGTCTGGAATTGAACTGCTAATCGGAATTTGCCACTGACTAGCTTTCCGACCTGCGACAAATTCTATGAGCTCTTGATCCTCAATTGCACTGCCAGTAAAATGGGCTTGTGACAGCTCATATTTCCAAACGCCACAAAGGGAATAAATAACATAAGGGTGTACAGTGCCTGGCACAGAACTACTGGTCATCAAATGCGAGCCACTGTTATAATAACTTTCTTTACTATTACAAATTTGGAGACTGCAAAATGTAGATGCAGACAGGATATCAGGCAAGTTCCTGTCACTCAACAAAAACTACTTTTAAAATTTTCCTTTTGGACTTTTTTTCCCCTATGAACAGGTTATGTTTCTTTAATATGGCTGATCACACATTTTTTTTAAATTTTGTATTTTATCACTTACAGTTATTTCACATTAGCTGTTTGGTATTACAATGCTATTTTTAATGACTGATCAACATTCCATTGATTGTCAGTGCTAATTCAACCCTTCTCTTCATTTTAAACATCTGTGATTCTAACAATTTTTCTCTATAAATGTAATCTTGCATAAAGTTTCCCCACATTTTGATTTACTTCCATAAGATAATAAGAAGTAAAATACGGCTAGGCATGGTGGCTCACGCTTGCAATCCCAGCACTTTGGGAGGCTGAAGGAGATGGATCATGAGGTCAGGCGTTTGAGACAAGCCTGGCCAACATGATGAAACCCCGTCTCTACTAAAAATACAAAAATTAGCTGGGCATGGTGGCAGGTGCCTATAATCCCAGCTATTTGGGAGGCTGAGGCAGGAGAATCATTTGAATTTAGGAGGCAGAGGTTGCAATGAGCCAAGGCTGCACCATTGCACTCTGGCCTGGGCGACAGATTGAGATTCTTTCTAAAAAAAAAAAAAAAAAAAAGGTAAAATACTGGATGGCTAAGCAGAAATATCTTTGTCATCTGATACACTTTGATATTTTGCTATCCAAAGAAGTTGTTCTAATTTAAATTCCCACTCTAGACACTGCATACATTTTTTTTGTTTCAAATCATAAAGAGCATCACAATAGTTTTGTAATCCTTTGATTGTTGGTATTTTTTTGTGTGTGAGACAGCGTCTCACTCCGTTGCCCAGGCTGGAATGCAATGACATGATCTCAGCTCACTGCAACCTCCGCCTCTTGGGTTCAAGGGATTCTCCTGCCTCAGCCCCCCGAGTAGTTGGGATTGCAGGCAGGTGCTACCATGCCTGGCTAATTTTTGTAGTTTTAGTAGAGACGGGGTTTCACCATGATGGCCAAGTTGGTCTCAAACTCCTGACCTCGGGTGATCTGCCCACCTCGGCCTCCCAAAGTGTTGGGATTACAGGCGTGAGCCACTGCACCTGATCATGTAATCCTTTGATTCTAAGTGGGATTGAAAGAAGAAAACACTATAAAAACTAGGTGACTAGGTAATCTCTATTTTCTATTTTTATCTCAGTAAGCAATTCAGGGTAACTTGATTCTTCTAAATTGGAGTTCAAAGAGAAGAGGAAGATACAAAGGTCTACGCCATTACATTGTGCAGCTCTCAAAACTCATGTTGATAACTTCAAAAGTTGTCTAGATTCACAAACCAAGTTGAATTTGAGGCCTGAATTTTAGCTGAGTTGATTTATCTATATTCTGGATTAAAAACCACAACTCGGCTTCCTATCAATGACACTCTATTTTCACTCAGCTCACATAGATTCTACTTTCTCCATATTGTTGAGGAAGCTGTCCCTCACTCACTTTTTTTTTTTTTTTTTTTTTTTGAAATAGAGTCTCACTCTGTTGCCCAGGCTAGAGTACAATGGTGTGATCTCAGCTCACTGAACCTCCACCTCCCGGGTTCAAGTGATTCTCCTGCCTTGGCTTCCTAAGTAGCTGAGATTACAGGC